GAGTGCAGTGGTTCGATGTTTGCTCACTGCAACCTCTCCCTCCCAGGTTTAAATGATTCTCCTGCCTCAGCCTCCCAAGTAGCTGGGATTTCAGGCACCTTCCACCACACCTGGCTAATTTTTGTATTTTTGGTAGAGACGGGGTTTTGCTATGTTGGCCAGGCTGGTCTTGAACTCCTGATCTCAGGCCCACCTTGGCCTCCCAAAGCGCTGGGATTACAGGCGTGAGCCATGGATCCTGGCCACCTACAGCTTTTGATGGCAGAGAAAGAGCAGTAAGGAGAAAGAAGAGGTCTTTTGAGAGATGTTATATATAGGAGGAGGTTAGGATTTGGGACCATTTTGAATAAGTTGAAACGAACAGCTTGAGGCACTGACAGGTGTCACCTGAAGTTTATCAGATAGCATAGGAAGAAGGGGGTCTTTCTGTGTGAGCTAGGGGCTTAGTCGGAGGTCAGGGGAACAGAACTATTGTTAAAAACACTTGCAGGCCTGGTGCAGTGGCTCATTCCTGTAACCCCAGTGCTTTGGGAGGCTTAGTGGAGAGGAACGCTTGAGGCCAGGAGTTCAAGACCAGCCTAGGCAACATATCAAGACCCCCATCTCTACAAAAAATTAGCTGGGCATGATGGCACACACCTGTAGTCCAAGCTATCTGGGAGACTAAGGTGGGAGAATTGTTTGAGCCCAGGGGTCTGGCGCTGCAGTAAGCTGTGATCACGCCACTGTACTCCAGCCTGGGCGACAGCAAGACCCTGTCTCTAAAGACAAAAACAAAAACAAACAAAATGCACTTGCAGGTTTGACCAATGAGCCTGACTATTGTGAATTTCCCTGAAAAAACATCACCCAGTGCTCTGCATGCAAGACGATGACACTGAGATCTGGAGCAGTGGTTGCCGCTCACTGAAGACCATGGGCTGCACGTCTCATGGACCCTGGGGGCTTTGAGGGCCTTTGCTGCATGACCTCCAGGCCATGTCCATATACCAAAATAAACCTCCCAGGGCTTGGCCTTCCAATACAACTCTACTGCAAAACATCTGAGTATAAGGGTGTAGGGACACTCAGAGCCCTGTGGCTGGGAGTGTAAACTCGTGCCATCTTTCCCAAGGGCAGTTGAGAAGCGCACACTCTTTGACTCTCTAGTTCAACTAGAATTTACTCTTAGGGAATAGACAAATACAGGGGTATTCACTCAAGTATTGTTTAAACTAATTTTCTTTTTTTTTTTTTTTGAGATGGAGTCTTGCTCTGTCACCCAAGCTAGAGTGCAACGGCATGATCTTGGCTCACTTCAACCTCCGCCTTCCAGGTTCAAGTGATTTTCCTGCCTCAGTCTCCCGAGTAGCTGCGATTACAGGCACTCACCACCAAGCCCAGCTAATTTTTGTATTTTTAGTAGAGAAGAGGTTTCACCACATCGGCCAGGCTGGTCTCAAACTGCTGACTTCAAGTGATCCGCCCCCCTCGGCCTCCCAAAGTGCTGGGATTACGGGTGTGAGCCACCATGCCTGGCCTAAAATAATTTTCAAGACGCTAATCTGAATCTCTTATCGACAGACAATTAGTTAAATAAAATGTGGTATGCCCATATGATGGAATACTATTCAACTATTAAAAATTATAAAATAGATCTGCATTTATTAATATGGAAAGATGTCTGCAATATCTTAAGTTAAAAAGATATTGAGATAAAAATGAACCCGCAGGCTGGGCTCAGTGGCTCACGCCTATAATCCCAGCACTTTGGGAGGCTGAGGCAGGTGAATCACTTGAGGTCAGGAGTTCCAGACCAGCCTGACCAATATGGTGAAACCCCGTCTCTGCTAAAAATACAAAAATTAGCAGGGCATGGTGGCGTGCGCCTGTAGTCTCAGCTACTTGGGAGGCTGAGACAGGTGAATTCCTTGGACCCGGGTGGTGGAGGTTGCAGGGAGCCGAGATCGCACACTGCACTCCAGCCTGGGTGACAAAGCAACAGTCTGTCTCAAAAAACAAACAAACCAAACAAACAAACACAAAATACAACCACAATAGGCTGAGTGCAGTGGTTCACACTTGTAATCCTAGCACTTTGGGAGGCTGAGGTGGGCAGATCACCTGAGGTCAGGAGTTTGAGACTAGCCTGGCCAACATGATGAAACCCTGTCTCTTCTAAAAATACAAAAATTAGCCGGGCATGGTGATGGGCGCCTGTAATCCCAGCTAGTTGAGGGACTGAGGCAGGAGAATCGCTTGAACCCGGGAAGCGGAGGTTGCAGTGAGAGTCATTGCACTCCAGCCTGGGTAACAGAGAGAGACTCTGTCTCAAAAAAAAAAAACCAACCAACCAACCAACCAAACAAACAAAAAACACCTACAATAATCTCCAACCAGCCATTTGCATGTCCATATGCACAGAAAAGTCTTGAGGAATATATACAATGGTGGGATTCGAGATAATCTTTATTTCTTTTTTTTTTAAAAGTTTGTTTTTTTCTCATATATTTGCAATGACACTGTAATCAAAATAAATAGTAAAATTACAGAAACAAAACAACTTGTAAGTAAATAAAAAAGCATAGAAAAATTGTTACAAAAGAAGTAACAGAAAACACGAGAAATTAATGAAAAATGTTTTGAGTTTTCGGACTTAACATGAATCATTATTATGACTAAAAAAAGAAATCTGTCGTAGTGGAGATGCCGCACCTGACAGTAAGCTCTGTCTTCATGTTGGCTAGTGAGTTGACGCACATTGACGGTGTAGGGGGTGTTTTATTGGAAAAGGCAACATGACATAAACTGTGCTTCTACCTTCAGAAGATCCCTCCCCATTTCTATTTAAGTGACAAGAAAATCTGCAGAATGAAACTCAAGAGAGAAGAGGGCTCCTGAACCAAGGATAAAACAAAGCAACTTGAACTCAGCGCCAGACCCTTGGCCTCTCCCTCAGTGACATCCGGGCAACTCCAGTGAAGACACGGAAACCAGAATCACCAAGGCAGTGAATTAACAGCTTACCTGCCAAGCCCTCCACCTTTTATTGTTTCCTGGGGGGTGTGTAGATTGGAGGAAAAGGAAGAGAAAGAGATCTGGTGAGACAGAGGAGGAGCGAGGAGGAAGGAGAGAGGGGAAAGGTGATTACTGCAGAGGAGGCCATGAAAACCACATCTCCCCACCAGCTCCCACCTTCAGCCTGTGCGCGGATTGGGTCCAGGACAGAGAAGGTAGCTGAGACAGCCGGGGGCCAGTGTTTGGCATGGATGATGAAAATATCCTCTGGGCATATGCAGGGAATAGCCGTTCCTCAGCAACACCCTGACCAATTAGGCCAATCACTGGGTGTTAATACCCGTGTGTCACTGTGGCCAGAGCTCCTGAGTGCCTGCATCGGATGAAGGCGATTTTGAGGGAAGAGCGTCAACTCAAGTACTCTGAGCAGCCATCTGGTCCTATCCTCCCTCTTTTTCCTTCCTTCCTTCCTTCTTTCCTTCCTTCCTTCCTTCCTTCCTTCCTTCCTTCCTTCCTTCCTTCCTTCCTTTCTTCCTTCCTTCCTTCTTTCCTTCCTTCCTCTTCCTTTCTTTTTCTTTTTCTGTCTCTCTTTTTCTTTCTCTTTCTTCCTTTCTCCTCCCTCCCTCCTTCCTTTCCTCCTCCTCCTTCTCTTCTTTTCCTTCTTCTTTCTTCCTTTCTTTCTTTCTCCTCCCTCCCTCCCTTCTTCCTTCCTTTCTTCCTCTTCTTCTTTCTTTCACTTTCTCTCTTTCTCTCTTTCTTTCTTTCCTTGTTTTCTTTTCTTTTCTTTTCTTTCCTTTTTTTTTTTTTTTTTTTTGAGACAGGATCTCACTCTGGAGCCCAGACTGGAGTGCAGTGGCACCATCATAGCTCACTCTATCCTCAAACTCCTGGGCTCAAGCGAGCCTCTTACTTCAGCCTCCCGAGTAGCTTGGACCACAAGTATACACAACTACACTTGGATACTTTTTTTAATTTTCATTTTTTGTAGAGACAGGGTCTCACTATGTTGACCAAGCTGGTCTCTCAAATTCCTGGGCTTACGCAAGCCTCCCGCCTTGGCCTCCCAAAGTGTTAGGATTACAGGTATGAGCCGCCGTGCTTGGCCTAGTGGTTTCTTTTCTATCTCTATTGCACTAAGCATGTGGCAGGTGTTGGGTTCACAGTAGATACTCAATAAATACTTGATTGATCAAGTTAAGCTTTTAAAGTTCTATAAATTGAAGTAAATTTAAAGTGACATTTGCTTTTTAATGAGGGATCTGTATTTCATAATAGCTTAGGACCATTCCTGGCACAGAACAGAAACTCAGTTTACATTGAATGGATGAATGATAAAACATAGAGGCAGCTCCTGTCAAAGGCTGAGCACATCGACTGCAGCAAATTCATTTCAGCCATGAAAGCCCAGAGGCATATTGCCATCCTGAGAAGTAAGTCCTCACACCTGGCATACTAAATCACACTAAACCATACTAAACCTGGCATACTAAGTGCTGGCATCGTGGCATGCTGGCCTTTTAGTTTACAATCAAGAGTCCTCAAGAATAGCTTCATCAGGGATGGGAGACCAGATATTGGAATAATTGTAGAAAGTTATTGATAAAAAGGGCTGCCAACATGGAATCAACCCAAATGCCCATCAATGATAGACTAGATAAAGAAAATGTGGTACGTATACACCATGGAACACTACGCAGCCATAAAAAGGTGTGAGATCATGTCCTTTTCAGGGACATGGATGGAGCTGGAAGCCATCATCCTTGCAAACTAACACAGGAACAGAAAACCAAACACCACGTGTTTTCACTCATAAGTGGGAGTTGAACAATGAGAACACATGGACACAGAGAGGGGAACATCACACACTGGGGCCTGTTGGGAGAGGCAGATGGAGGGAGAACATCAGGAAGAATAGCTAATACATGTGGGGTTTAATACCTAGGTGATGGGTTGATGGGTGCAGCAAACCACCATGGCACACATTTACCTATGTAACAAGCCTGCATGTCCTGCACATGTGTCCTGGAACTTAAGGTAAAATTAAATTAAATAATAAAAAAAGGGCTGCCAAGTAAGCCAGTAGATATTTAAGACAATGAAACTATGAACCATATTTCTTAAAATTTATTAAAATGTTGAAGCCCTCAAATTCACTCATTCATTTGCTTACTCATTCGATATTTATTGAGCATCTACTATGTAGCATTTACTGTTGAATTAAAAAGAGCAAAAGCATAGAGCTAATCATTTATATAACTTATTTTAAAAAGCAAATTATGATATTGGTAGTATCAATGGGTTGATTGAAACGTCAGTTAATTTACTGAGCAACCACTGTGGTAAAGCATTGTTAATACTTTCTTATGAAGACGGGCTCAACTGATTGCTTATTCATGCAGAAGTAGCAACATCCACTGATGTTCAAGGAACCAGTGAGTAGATCTCCCACACATAACTTGTGCTCCTGGATCTCAGGGTGGCTGATCCAACATAAAACACCTGAAGTTTTTTTGTGTGTGGCGTCTCTGTATTTCCACAGTTCCTTGCGCAGAATTATCTTTGTCCATTGTAGGCATTTGGTTAATGTTTATTACATTACATTTCAGAATTTGGGAGAAAGTTTGTGTGTGTGTGTGTGTGTGTGTGTGTGTGTGTGTGTGTGTGTGAGTCTCGCTCTGTCTCTTAGGCTGGAGTGCAGTGGTGTGATCTCGGCTCACTTAAACCTCTGCTTCCTGGGTTCAAACAATCTCTTGCCTCAGCCTCCCGAGGAGCTGGGATTACAGGCACACGCCACCATGCTCTGCTAATTTTTGTATTGTTAGTAGAGACAGGGTTTCACCGTGTTGGCCAGGCTGGTCTCGAACTCCTGGCCTCAAGTGATCTGCCCACCTCGGCCTCCCAAAGTGTTGGGATTACAGGCGTGAGCCACAGTGCCTGGCTGCTTTTTTAATGTAATAAAAGTCATGAACTGGAAAAGGCAGATTATAGATTATAGCCCATCATCAAATAGTTGTTGGAAAATCTATGTAGAAAAAATGACCCCTGAACTTTACATGTAGGATTTTATCCCACAGATATTCTTGCACTTACGGATTTTCAATTAATGGCTGTTTGTAAGATAACCACAGAATGTAGCAATCACATGTCCAGATAGGGGGTTGGCTAAATTAATGGTGGCAATTCCATACAACGGAGTATTCTGTAACTGTTAAAAACGATGAGATGGTTTTTGTGTCCTGATATGGGGGGATCTACAAGGTATGCCAGCAAGTGGAAACAAACACGGTACCGAACAGAAGAAATGAAGCAACTGTCCAGCATTCCTTATCCTCTATGTGTTTATTTGTACAGTCTCTCTGGAAGGGTGCCTGGAAATCTGGTAGCAAGTGTTGCTTCCTTCCTGCAAGGGGATTTTTGAGTTAGAAATGGGATTTACTTTTCGTCTTTTTTCTGAGACAGGGTCTTGTTCTGTTGCCCAGGCCAGAGTGCAGAGGCGTGACCACAGCTCACTGCAACCTCTGCCTCCTGGGTTCCAGCAATTCTCCCACCTCAGCCTCCCAAGTAGTTGGGACTACAGGCATGTGCCACCATGCCCAGCTAATTTTTTGTGTTTTTAGTAAAGATGGGGTTTCGCCATGTTAGCCAGGCTGGTCTTGGACTCCTGGCCTCCAGTGATCAGCCCGCCTTGGCCTCCCAAAGTGCTGGGGTTATAGATGTGAGCTACCTTGCCCAGTCTGATTGTTTTTTTAAACTATTCTAATCAATTAACTGCTAAAATGTCCAAAGTCACTTGATGTTTTCCCAGATGACGTTTGATGCAGGTAAAAATGAGACCACAAAAATATGAGTCATTCTCTAGCAGGAAAATTTATGAACAGAAGATTAAAATAATTTTTGCCCATATCAAATTACAGTTGGTTTTTTTTGTTACTTTGGAAGCTTGTCAGCCTGGAGCATGACTTGCTTTCTTCTCATTACTTGCGTTCTTCCTCTCTGCCTGCTTCCCTTCTTCCTCCTGTTCTCCCCTCCTCTCTCAGCTCTCCTCCCCTCCCTTCAGGTTTTCCTTTTAGTCTTGCAAACGCTTTCCCCTTTTCCTCCTTATCGTCACTTGCACATTCTCTTTTCTATTCTCCTAGCCTTAGCATTGCATGTGTCTTCTGTAAGGAGGAACAGTTTTTGGTTTTATTTTGTGTTGTTAACTTTTTTTCTTTTTCTTTTTTTTGCTTTTTAAATAGAGATGGGGTCTTGCTATGTTGACCAGGCTGGCCTCAAATTCTGGCCTCAAGTGATCCTCCCACTTCGGCCTCTCAAAGTGCTGGGATTACAGATGTGAGCCACCATGCCTGGCCAAGAGGAGTGTTTTATACTGAAAATGTGGACAGCTTCTCTGTTAAGTGCACGGCGAGGGACCGGCAGCTTCTGGCAGAGATGCTGTAATGTCAGTGCTGGCATTGGCACCTGTGGCTTTGGATGCTCCGTGCGAGGGAGGTGGACCCTGCTGTGTAGAGCTGTGAAGAGCTGACCTTGAGCCCTTTTGTGGGGTGCCAACACTCTGGGTTCAACTCCAGTAGCCTGACCGCTAGAAGCTACCAATATTTAGAAAAACAGGCACATCAAACAGAGAACTCCATAAAGCAGCTATTGTTTAACTTTCTATGTGATGGAGGCCTTCTAAGTGTGGAAGGGACTGCTGCCAGGATTGTGCTGGGCGGCAGGCCTGGGCCAGGACCACCCAGCACCTGGGACTGTGGTCACCCTGATCATAAACATACTTCACAAAGGGACACACTTACCAGTGGTGTCGCTGTGGCCCTGTGGATACACACCTGCGGAAAAGAGAGGAGAGCATCACGGCTCGAGTCCTAGAGGTCCTAGATCCTCATGAAGCAGGAGAAACTCGGCACAGCTCGGCTGCCATCTTAGCACCCTCGGAGACTCGTGGCTGGCGTAACCAGACTCGTTTTAGCAAAGAACAAGCAGGGTAGCTCACTGAGGTGCTGGCCACACTTAAGAATCAGATAAGCTTTAGAGAAGGTCCACGTTACCCACAGCTCCTCCATTCCACAGATCCTGGCCCCGGACTGCAGGGAGCTTCCACCACCTCCTACTGCGAGAGGGCACAGATGCCACTCAGAGTCTCAGCACGGGCTCTGCTGTGCGGGTGATAAGGCTGGCCCTGTCACATCTTGGCGGGTGGGCTTGTTTTTCTAGTTGCCCCAGCCACAGAGAAAGCCACGGAGAAAGAGGACAGGCCAGGAGGCTGTGGCTGGTGGCTGGGGGCAGCAGGCTACCCAGTGAATCCCGACTTTGGGTTGACGGTCTAAAGCCGCCTTGTGCTGGATCTCAGCCCCGATCTCAGAAGCAATAGTGAGAAATGGACCTCTCCTGGGGCAAAGCAAGTGCTAACCTGGCGGCTGGTGGGAGGCGGATGCCGTGAGTTCCCAGGTCTTGGCTGTTGTCTGAGAGGGGCCGTGGGAGGACTCATGACTGCCTATCTCTGTGGTTCCTGTGGAAGACGATGTGGAAGGCATCAGCCGGGAGCTCGGGACAATAGCTGCTGTTGTGGCCGCTGTGGTGTTTGAGCTGGGAGATGAAGCTGCAGGCTCTGTAGAGAGGCCAAGGCAGGGAGAGCATCAGTGTGCAGACTCCCCTCCTCTCAGCTGCAGCACAGGGTGATGTGGGCGCTGCCGTAGTGAGTCACCCGGGCCAGCCCTCCCTCTCCCACAGCAAACTGCTCCTTAAGAGGGTGACATAGCTGTTCCTCTGGAAGGGCCATAGGACCTGTGAAAACACTAAAGAACATGGCTACTATCACGGCACGTGTAAAGAAAAGATCAGCCAGACACAGTGGGTCATGCCTATAATCCCAACACTTTGGGATGCTGAGGTGCGAGGATCGCTTGAGTCCAGGAGTTTAAGACCAGCCTGGGCAACATAGCAAGACCCTATTTCTTTTCTTTTTTTTTGAGATGGAATCTCACTCTGTCACCAAGGCTAGAGTGCAGTGGCATGATCTCAGCTCACTGCAACCACTGCCTTCCGGGTTCAAGCAATTCTCCCTGCCTCAGCCTCCCGAGTAGCTGGGATTACAGATGCACACCACCATGCCCAGCTAATTTTTGGATTTTTAGTAGAGATGAGGTTTCGCTATGTTGACCAGGCTGGTCTCAAACTCCTGACCTTAGGTGATCTACCCACCTTGGCCTCCCAATGTGCTGGGATTACAGGCGAGAGCCACTGTGCCCTGCTGCAAGACCCTGTTTCTACAAAAATAAGAATAAAAATAAATTATCCAGGTGTGGTGGGCGTGTGCCTATAGTTCCAGCTATCTGAGAGGCTGAGGCAAGAGAATCACTTGAGCCTAGGAGTTTCAGACTGCAGTGACCACTGTACTCTAGCCTGGGGGACAGAGTGAGACCCCTGTCTCTTAAAAAAAAAAGGCGGGGAGGGCAGGGGGTGGGTGGGAAGAAAAGAAAGGTGTTAAAGATCTGAGTCGTTCAGCTTGTTTACTAGAGAAGGCAGGCCCAACATTGCAGGCTCAGCTGAAAGCAGGTGAAGCTGCGTTGGCCGAGGATGCTCGGAGCGGCTGAATGTGAAACACATGAAGCCTGGGCTCTGGCCTGAACTCTCTGGGCTGTTGGAGGAAAGCATCCGGATGAGCTCGCTGTCAGGAATAGAGGCTGCCTTGGGTTCAGAGTCTTCCCTTCTTTGTCATTCCCCAGAAGGTGGCTACCCCTGCACTGTAAAGGTACTGTTCCCTCTCCATGAAAAACGTGTCTTCCGTTGTGACAGCTACGGAATTTAGCAAATGTGGGGCCAAGCGCTGTGGCTCTCTGGATGCACTGTTGTTGCTGCGTTCCCGTGGTCTCCCAGCCACACAGGTCATGAGAAGTCCTCACATCCCCTTAATCCTTTGTCACCACCTCGCATACAACTTGCCCCGCCCTCACTGCCAACGCTCCAGGGCTCCCTGCAGACAGGGCACACCACAGTGTCCTCAGCCAAGTGCCCACGGTCATGCCAGCTCAGGTCAAAGGCTGCTGTCACGTCGGAGCTTCTGACTGCACAGTTGTGTCTCGACAATGGCCATCGGACCAGGCATTTGGGATGCAAGAGTGGGGAGGATGGGAGAGGCTTACTGGATCATTCTCCTCCTTGGGTTAACGAGGTGTGACTCAGATCAAAGGGGTTGTAGAATTACCTCAAGTTTAAATGGAGCCAGCCCCTCAACCCCTTCCTCCCTGTGCAGGTGACTCACTAGGAGGGAACCTTGTTTAGCTGCTTCTTCCTCCCTTAAGCTGCAGGCCTCAGCCTTGGCCACTTAAGAACCACCTGGGGGCCAGGTGCAGTGGCTCATACCTGTAATCCCAGCACTTTGGGAGACTGAGGCTTGCGGATCACCTGAGGTCAGGAGTTTGAGACCAGACTGACCAACATGGTGAAACCCTGTCTCTACTAAAAATACAAAAATTAGCTGGGCGTGGTGGTGCACGCCTGTAATCCCAGCTACTCGGGAGGCTAAAGCAGGAAAATCGCTTGAACCTGGAAGGCAGAGGTTGCAGTGAGCCAAGATTTCGTCTCTGCCTTCCAGACTGGGCAATAGAGCAAGACTCCATCTCAAAAAAAAAGATCCACCTGGGGCTGGAGAGCAGTGATTTCCAGCTTGCACCCAGGCCAACGGGAGTGCTCAGATGTTAGTGCGTATCCACAGCTGACAACCGACACTCTGCAAAGGATGGCTGCGTTTTGTAGTATGAATGACAACAGACAGGCCCATCCCTGGGGGCAAAAGAGTAGGCAGGGGCCAGGGACGGCCACAGGCTGGACGATGCAACACTAAAGCCAAGAGTGAACTGTAACATGAAGGTATCATAGCACGCAGGGCAGAGGATCCCAAGAAAGCATCCAAGATTTCAAATTTTTGAACACTGAGAAAGTGCTGAGGAAATCGGTCCTGACAATCTCCAAAGACTCTGTTGAAGCCTGGGACACTGGCAGCTTCAGGCAATGCCTCTACAATAGAGCAGTCACCGTGATGTGCTGGTGTTTGGGTCTGGGTGGGGGGCAGCTCTCCACGCGTCTCTGACATTTCTGCACATCTTGTAGACAAGGGAGCTGACTGCCCTTTCTCTGGACCATCCTCTCAAGGGTGCTTCTATAGCAAGCGCCTTGGAAGATAGGGACATGGTCTCCCCTGGAGCAGAGAGCAGGCGTGATTACTGCCCATGACAAAACACTTGGGTCTCCAAAGCCGGGGCTTCCTCTCCCACAGTGCAGCCCGCTGAGCGGACAGGCATCTGTTGAGGCCCAGCTGTGCTGTCCCTGCTGGCTAGGGGACGAGGGAATTGATGCAAACATGCTGAAGCTCCCGCTGCTTGCTGGCCTCCCATCCTGGAGTGCCCTCGTTTCTGCCAGCACCCATGAAAATGTTGAGGGCTGAGACATGTGCAACCTCAAACCTCAGTCTACTTTCAGTTCTTGAAGGTAAGTGTCTACAACTAAACATGATATGACATATTAGTGAGTTTTAAACCACTATTCATTCTGCACATATAACACCTGGATATCAAGCAACCTTGATTTGAAAAAGAAAATTAAGCTGGACGTTCTTATTCTTGATTGAATAAGACATTTGTGCTATTGCCTAAGTCTGCAGTGGCACACCACGGAGGTCCATGAGTCTGCAGGCTTGGTGATGGGGGCTTTGGGTGTTGGGAGGGAATAAATGTCCTCAAGAAGTTTCTGACCTTCCTACCTTTTCCAGAAGGGGAGAGGCTCTCTGGCTGTGGGGTCACCCCTGCCGTCGTTACTGTGAAGGGTAGCGCTGGCCTTTGGCGAGCCAGGAGAGGGTCTCCTAGAGAGAGGATAACCACATGGCACTTATGATCCTGAGCCTGGAACCTGGGCTAGCCTCAGAACTGGATACAAATAAAATATATTAACACATGCTTACAGTGGAGGCATGAGAAACAATGTTTCCTCACCCAAATGCAAAGACAGACTGCAAACTATTTTTCTTGCATTTCCGAAGATTGCACAAGTTAAATATCAAATTTATTTTGGCTGAGATGATATTAATGATATCAATTCAATTTTATAATAATGGCTATTCTTGGGAAAATAAATGATCACTCAATAGATTCTATTTTGTTTGTTTGAGACAGGGTCTTGCTCCGTTGCCCAGGTTGGAGTGCAGTGGTGTGATCACAACTCACTGCAGCCTCGACCTCCCGGGCTCAAGAGATCCTCTTGCCTCAGTCTCCTGAGTAGCTGGGACTACATGTACGTGCCTCAATGCCCAGGTAATTTTTATTTTTTTATTTTTAAAATTTTTTTGGTAGAGACAGGGTATTGCTATGTTGCTGAGGTTGATCTTCATCTCTTGGTCTCAAACAATCCCTCTCACCTCGGCCTCCCAAAGTGCTGGGATTACAGGTGTGAGCCACCATACCTGGCTTACATTTCGCTTGTTTAGCAGGAAAAAAAAATCATTCAAAGCACAAGAGGTTGGGAAGCGTCACAGAGGGAGTCGTGAGTGATCAGAACGCGGAAGGATCTTTGGACTAGGTGAAAGCTAAAAAGGCATCCAGTCTTTGGGCTCTAAAACCCTGATTCTGGGTTCTCTTCTTTCCTCTCCTATCCTGACCCTGTTTGGAGCCCACAGCTCTTCTCCATCCCACATTCATTTGCCCAAAGGACATGGAGCATTGAGGAGACCTGACTTTCCCTGCAGTGAGAAAGTCCTTATTTTACCTCGGGCTTACAGGTTCCAGGGAGTCCCAGGACTGGCAGGTTAAGACCCACCGTGGTTCCCACAGATCCTGCTCTCCCCGCCACGCTCAGCTTTCTCATTCACTCACTGATACCACGGGGTGCTGTGTCCCCAGGAGCGGTTTCTCCGAACAAGTCGGAGTCTTCCTCCCTGTCCTCCCTCTGCTGCCTGTGGGACTCGCTCTGTTCTGGGGGAGGAGGCTGAGCCCGCACTCCCAAACCAGTGGCAATGTTCAGCGCCTCACGGAGCTCCCCTCTGTCCCCGACTGCAGAGGGCGGGAGCGATGGGGTCGCTCCATGCAGGGGCGCGCTCATCCCTGCCCCAGAGACGAGCTGGGGAAGCAGAGAAACCTGCCCTCAACGTTTGTCAAATGGGAATTCTCTTGAAAGCCCCCGGGTTAATTTTTTATTTTTTCCAGAAGGAGGAAGAGGGGGGCAGAAGCAGGCCTGAGTGTTCCAGAAACAGCCCCAAGTGGCTCCCACCCGAGGCGGTTTGGCCGCTTCTGGGATGTTTATCCAGGTGCAGGTAAAAAAAAGTCGATTCTTGCCACCTTCCCTCCCTCCTGCTGGACACCATGCACAGCTGACTGAGCACAGGGCAGCCCTGCTGCAGGGCCTGCGCCCATCCTCGGGGCTGGGTAATGAGCGAGGAGCAGTGATGGCTTCCAACATCCACCTTCTCATGAGAAATCCCAAAATTTCGCACACTAGTGTGCTCGTGAGTGCCCACCCAGCTCTGCAGCCAAATTCTCTTGCCAGCATCATCTCAAATCAAAGCACTACATGTAATAAGAGTTAACAAGTACCAGGGTTCACGCCACCCTCCCACAGCCCGCAGTGTGGATATCAAGTCCGTTTTCCAGATGACCAGCCAGAGTGCCAGAACGTCACAAGAGCCGCCCAAGGCCTCCTGGGTGGTAGGCAGCAAAGCCAGGATTGAAACCCAGAATTCTGTGACCCCAGCACCTGTGTATTTCCAACGTCAGGAGCTGTTGCTGAAGATCCCACTGGTGTCTTTTTTTTTTTTTTTTTTTTTTTTTTTTTTTTGAGATGGAGTCTTGCTGTGTCACCCAGGCTGGAGTGCAGTGGTGTGATCTCGGCTCACTGCAACCTCTACCTCCCAGGTTCAAGCAATTCTCCTGTCTCAGCCTCCCGAGTAGCTGGGATTACAAGCACATGCCACCATGCCCGGCTAATTTTTGTATTTTTAATAGAGACAGGGTTTCACCATGTTGACCAGGCTGATCTAGAACTCCTGACCTCAAGTGATCCTCCCACCTCGGCCTTCCAAAGTGCTGGGATTACAGGTGTGAGCTACCATGCCCGGCCCCCACTGGTGTCTTTAGCCTCAGACCTCAGCATAGATCCCTTGACCCCTGAGATGGTATCTTCTCTCTGTGCTGCCTTGGCGGGGTGGGGGAGGGAGGAGGGTGGGGTGGCGTGGGCTACTCACTAATGCATTTGAGACTGGGGGTTGTCCAGTGGGCGATGTTCGTGGCCTTGTTCAGCACGCACTCAGTCAGGCTGGACGTGCCGGCTTTACGCTTGAAACCAGAGTTACAAATGTACCGCTCCCTGGAGTACAAGCTGTAGCTCTTGACCCGGATGTCTGCGTGTTCCACGGACACTGGGGGAGGGCACGTGATGCCTGCAAAAGTGCAGAGGACAGGGGAGGGTGAAGAGGTTTCCACTTGTAAGACGCGTTCTCCAGGCACACGCGGCGGTAGTCAGTAACTTTAGGGCTGAGTTCAGCTTATCCTAGGGGTGCCTTAGGAAAAGCCCCAGGTGCCAGGCACATGGAGGATGTGCAGGAAGGGCATCCATCACCCAGAAGCCTTCCCAGAGCCTCACCTGAAGTGCCAGTCAGTCAGCAAAACTAGAGATGGGGGCGTGGGGAGAGGGTCATCGATGAAACATCCTCTCCGTTCATTTCCCACTCCTCTCCAAGCCCTCAGTAGTCTTCATCCCTCTCCACTGTGGACAGAGCCTCCAATTCTCACTGAACGACAGCAACTGCCTCCAGATAGGCCCCCTGCAGGCTCTCCCACAGGCCTCTGCGGCCAGCATCACCTTTAGAAATGCATCTTTGAGCCTGGCCAACATAGTGAAACCCCATCTTTACTAAAAATACAAAAAATTAGCCGGGCATGGTAGCACGCACCTGTAATCCCAGCTACTGGGGAGGCTGAGGCAGGAGAATTGCTTGAACCTGGGAGACAGAGGTTGCAGTGAGCCCAGATCACACCATTGCACTCTAGCCTGGGCGACAGAGTGAGACCCTGTCTCAAGAAAAAAAAAAAAAAAGAAAAGAAAAGAAAAGAAATGCACCTTTGACAACTTCACTCGTCCCTGACCACCCAGTACTCTTAGAATAAAAACAAATCTTTACGAAGTCTTCAGGGCTCGGCCAGCCCCTCTAGCTCTCTTCCCCCAGCCATAATGGTCTTGGGCTCCCCTCACACCACTCACCACGCTACCCACCTCTTCCCAAGCACAACCCACCGTGGCACTCTGTCTCCCACCACCCTTCCTAGCTCACTGAAACACCGCCTCCTAAGGAAGACCGTCCCTCTCCCTGAGTACACAAGGGCCTGGGCTGAGTTCTTTCTCCCCTAGTCTCTTCCACAGTTTGTATTGGAGATGTTGAGATTATGTAATTCACGCGCATCCCACTGTGTGTGCTCTGAGCCAGATGAGGGTAGGGCCACATCTGTTTTTGCTAACACTGGGATCCTGAGCCCAGCACTATACCTAAAACTAGTAGGTACTCAAGAAATCCTTGTTGGAAGAACGAATGGATGAACTCTGTTACTCAACCACAGTCTTCAGCCTGACTTTCTCATAGAAGTGAGTTCAATTTATTTCATTTCTACCTTTGTAACCAGTTTATCTCATTATCCTCTCTTTTTCAGAAGAAACCAGAAGCAAGATGAATTGCTCCAGACAGCTTTACGTTTGTGACAGGTGGAATTGGACTCAGACTCCAAACTTCAGCTACACATCCGGCAATGGTGCAGGAGCTCAGTTCTGTGGAAATGAGGGGTTTTACGAGTCCACATCTAAGGGGATTGGCCTCAGAAGCAAAGAAAAGATGGAAATGGGTGTCACTTCCATTTCCATTCTGGGGACACTGTATTCACTAATGGCTTTTAGTTGTTGTTGATAATTATTTATTAACAACTATTGATATTTCTTTGTCCTTAAAAATTTCCTTTCCTATGTAAAAGCACATAACGTAAATGTTAAAGACAACCTGACTTGAGTGAGCTATAGGAGAACTTCAGGCTTTTTTCCTACGTTACGTAACAACAACAACAATGAAACCTGTAAAAAAGAAAGGTTGACTTGTTTTCCAGTAGGCAAAAATGAATGAGGTTGGTGTTATTGATCATGTACCTAATATAAAAATCTGTGGATCCCAGGAAAGAATCTATTCAAGGCCTTAATGACAGTTAACATACAATCCCCTTTGGCACCAATTTTGTAGACTGTGGTTCTATAAAGAAACTCCAAAAGGATCGCCCTTAGTTCTTAAAAGGCAAGGAGGCAGCTAATGTATGCCAATATGGTTGGCTTTTCCTTGTTTAAGATGAGGTCTTGTCCAATGCCAGAAAGATTTTTTTTATATAAGATAAAGTCTCACTCTGTCCCTGGAGGTAGAGTGCAGTGGTGTGATTGTAGCTCACCACAGCCTCAACCTCCCAGGCTCAAGCAATCCTCCCACCTCAGACTCCTGAGTAGCTGGGACCACAGGCATGTACCACCATGCTCGGTTAATTTGTTTTTTGTTTGTTTGTTTGTTTTGTAGAAATGGGGGTCTCTCTATATTGCCCAGGCTGGTCTTGAACTCCTGGGGTCAAGCGATCCTCCTGCCTGGCCTCGAAAACTGCTAGGATTACAGGCGTGAGCCATCATGCCTGGTCTGAACGATTCAATTGTGGCTAAATTTAAAAAGCAAGGTTTTTCTTTAGGCACTTTAAATAACTGTAAGATTTTCTTTTTACTATTTTTCTTATGAACGAATCACATTATTAGGTTTTCTTGTGCATCGAAAAGATGAGTAAGAAATGGTTTGGGTGTGGAGGGGCTGAGGGTGGGCAGTGCTGGAGGGCACTCTGGGTCCTGGTGCCCATGGGGACGTGGCCAGAAACATCTCCCCCAGACTCCCCACTATTTGAGTGTGTCTAGGCCCTGAGTGTCACTGGCTAAGACACTGGTACAGGGCAGCGATGGGGGTTACCAAGGCAGCTGTAAAACACGGAAACCAACGGGCTGCCTCCAGCTGCTGGGGCTTGTCTCTTTGGTTCCAGGTCAGGAAGCTCTCGGTAAGTCCCTGCTGAGCAGTTGGTGCAAAGGCTGGGTCCCAGACAAGAGAACTGAGTGAGGTCATCTTCCTGCCGCCTCGGGGTAGATTGACGGGGAGACCAAATGCAGTGGCAGGAAGATTTGCAGCCTGGGATAGGGAGGCCCCTGGCGGCCTCTGTGCGGAGGTCAGTAGGCTGTGGCCCACAGGCCCCATCCAGCCTCCACCTGTTATTGAGAGTAACGTTTTATGCCTCTCTCATTCATTAATGTCTTGTCAATGGCAGCTTTCACGCGCAATGGCAGAGCTGCATAGTTGGAACAGAGACCTGCCTGCCCGCAGAGTGTAAAATAGTTACTATCTGTCCCTTTACAGGAAAAGTTTGCCAACCCCTGCTCTATGTAGCCTTTACGCAAAGTACTGCATTTGTTTTGTTAGTAAGACCAATTGCCCAGTGCATCAGCGCAGACCTGGTAACTGAGGTTGACTAAGGTGATCTAGCCCATTTCAAAATAAAATAGTTTCCGTGTGGCAAAACCCAGCATCAACCGGAGGCAAATGGTGAAATGAAAAAGAAATTGCATCCCATGTTATATAGGGCCATTCCTCTCATATGTTTTTGTTTTTGTTTTTGTTTTTGTTTTTGGAGACAGGGTCTTGCTGGAGTACAGTGGTACGATCATGGCTTGTTGCAACCTCAACCTCCTGGGCTCAAGTGATCCTCCCACCTCAGCCTCTCCAGTAGCTGGGACCACAAGCACATGCCACCATGCCTGGATAAGTTTATATATATGTATATATTTTTATATATGTGTATATTTATGTTTATAGATATGTTTACATATGTTTATATATATATATTTAAGTTTATGTGTGTGTGTATATATATATATATATTTTTTTTTTAGAGACTGGGTTTCACCATGTTACCCAGGTTGGTCTCAAACTCCTGAGCTCAAGTTATCTGCCCGCCTCCACCTCCCAAAGTGCTAGGATTACAGGTGTGAACCACCATACCTGACCTCCTCATATATGTTAAAAGCCCTTGAAAATCAGCAAAAAGTGTGCCAAATCCCATGGGAAAACAAGAAAAAGATAAAATAGGAAGCTTACAGAAAAGGAAATACAAATGGCTCTTAAATATATTTTAAAATGCTCAATCTTATTCACAATGAAAGAAGTGTTAAAAAGAAAGCTACAGGAGACGGCACTTCTAGCTGCCAAATCAGAAAAGAGCTGAAAGTTGAATAATAAACCTTTTAGGTCAACCAGAACTTTCAGATTGCTTGTAACACCCTAGTGAGGGCATATTTACAGTCTCGAAGATTATAGAGGTACATGCTTTCTGACCCCACAATTCTGCTCCTAGCAATTTATCTTACAGATATGTCTGCATACCTGCGAGACAGTGTTACAACATATTCCTTAACCTAGCAATTCCACCCCTAAGAATTTATTTTACAGATATGCTGGTATATTTGCAAACTGAGTATATACAAAGTTATGGATTATAACAGCCAGTATCTGTAACTAATCTTGTATGTTGTCAGTAGGAGACTAATTAAGTAAATTTGTCTTGTTTTTTTTTTTTTTTGAGACAGTCTCACTCTTGTCACCCAGGCTGGGAGTGCAATGGCACAGTCTTGGCTCACTGCCTGCAATCTCCGCCTCCCAGGTTCAAGCGATTCTCCTGCCTCAGCCTCTGAAGTAGTTGGGATTATAGGCGTGTGCCACCACGCCCAGCAAATTTTTGTATTTTCAATAGAGATGGGGTTTCACCATATTGGCTAGACTGGTCTCGAACTCCTGACCTCAAGTGATCTGCCCTCCGGGGCCTTCCAAAGTCCTGGAATTACAGGCATGAATCACTCTGCCTGGCCCGACAAGGGAGTTTTTGGCACTCATTTAAAATTTCTCTTAAAGTCATGAGTAATACCTTGTTCATACCCTTTCAGGTCATGGAATTGATTCTATCAATGAATCAATTTATAGGTTCCTCTTACTATGCTCTTCTGAATTTCTTTTCTTTTCTTTTCTTTTTTTGTTTTTTTTTTGAGACAGTCTCACTCTCTCACCCAGGCTGGAGTGCACGGGTGTGATCTCAGCTCACTGCAGGTGCAGCTTCTGCCTCCCAGGCTCAAGTGATTCTCCTGCCTCAGCTTCCTGAGTAGCTCAGACTACAGGCACCCGCCACCATGCCCGGCTAATTTTTGTGTTTTTAGTAGAGACAGGGTTTCACTATGTTGGCCAGGCTGGTCTTGAACTCCTGACCTCAAATGATCTGCCCGCCTCGGCCTCCCAAAGTGCTGGGATTACAGGCATGAACCACCGTGTTAGGCCCTGAA